TATTAGTTTTATTATCTTGCTAAAGACACCAGGGCAAGGCTGGCAGCCAGTCTGTTGTGTCTGCTTTCTTGAGACATTTGGCCAACAGGATCAGTAAAAGAGGAGAGAGAAATGCATTGACAGACATTGGTTTGGTTGGGGAATACGTGGCTTCTGGTAAAAGTCACATCTCTTTTGGAATGGAGCAAGCAGCATAGTCTGCAGGAACGCTGAGAACTGTGTGATTCACAAGCCCACTGCAACCCCCCAAGCTGCTGCTGCCGTGCCTTCTCCATCTCAAAGAATGTTTCTTTTCGCGTTAAAATCCTTTCTTGGTTTGTTTTTTTTTGTCTTTGTTTGTTTTTATAATAGTGACCTTATACAATATTTACTGTTTTGCGATTCACTTATTTCACTCAGCCATAGTATCTTCCAAATCCATCGATGTCACAGGTGTTTCACAGTTTCATCATCATTCTTTGCATAGTATCCTATTTTGTATATGTAATAAGGCTTGTCCCTTCTTCCGCTGATGGACATTTAGGTGGTTTCCATCTGTGCGGTGATGAATATTGCTTCTGTGAACAGGCTTTGCATACATCTGTTTGTGTCACGGCCCTTGGTTCTCTAGGATCTAGACTAAGTGAGGTTGCTCGGGCATATGGTATTTCTATTCCCCACTTTTTGTGGAAGCACTATACCACTTCCACAGTGATTGCACCACTTTAGATTCCCCCCCGCAGAGTGGATGGGTTCCAGCCTTCACACCCTCACCAAAATTTGTTTTATTTATTTTTTTAACTTAGCTATTAATGCTAGGGTGAAATGGTATCTGATTGTTTTATATTGATTTATACCTTTGAATGGTTAAAGTTTGTGAGCATTTATTTCTTCATACATTTGTTGACCACCTCAATGTCTTCTTTGGTGAAGTATCTGTCTATATCCTGTATTTTAAAATTGGATTATTTGTCTCTTCTAAAGCTGTTGAAGGCTTCTATAAATTTTAGAGGTTAGTCTTTTGTCCAATATGCCATTGCCAAAAAAATGTTCCCCTATCTCTTGGTTCTCTTTTTACCTCTCTAGTGAAGTGTCTTATTTTTAATAAGTCATCTGGGACCTCTTTAAATTGTTGAAATGAAAGGATGGTACTTTGAGGTCTAAGGTATACCTCACCCAAGACCTGGTATTTTCAGTTGCCCCATATGCATGTGAAAGTTGGACATTGTGTAAGGAAGACCAAAGAAAAATCGATTCACTTGAAGAACTATGGTGTTGGCAAAGAATATTGAAAGTACCAAAAGAAAAAACAAATCTGTCTTGTAAGAAGTACAGCCAGAAAGCTCATGACAGGACTTCATCTTATATGCTTTAGACAGGTTATCAGGAGAGACCAGTCCCTGGAGAAGGACATCATTCTTGGGAAAGTAGAGGGACAGTGAAAAAGAGGAAGGCCCACAATTAGATGGATTGACACAGTGACTGCAACAATGGGGTCACACATAAGAACAATTGTGAGGATGGTGTGGGACCAGGTAGTGTTTTGTTCTGTTGTACAAAAGTTACTGTGTGTTGGAACTGACTTAATGGCATTAACAACTGCAATAATCATCTATTTTGTCTTCTGTGTATGTTTTAAATTATGTTTGACGGTGTGTTTATACCATATATTTTGACCACTAAGTTTGTCCCTATGTTTTTAATTATGGTCTTTATAGCTATAGGTTTTGCATTGAGGTCTGTGGACTATCTTGAGGTTGTTTTGGGTACGGTGTGAGATATGGGTCCTATTTCATATTTTTGCAGTCATATTCAGCTTTGCCAGCACATTTGTTAAAGAAACGATCTCTTCATAATATAATTTGTTTAGGCCCTTTTGCAAAGATCAGCTGCCTGGAGGTGGACAGATTTACTTCTGGGTTCTCAGGTCTGTTCCACTAATCTGTGTATCTGTCACTATACCAGGCTCTCTTGTCTCTCCTGGCTGTGCAGCAGGTTTTGAGATGTCAACCTTTGAGAAGCTGCTTACTTTTTTGTTGATCTTTAGGACTGCTTTGCTTCTTTCCACAAAAAGTTGGTAATTGTTTTTCCATCTTTTTAAAGAATGACGTTGGAAGTGGATCACAATTGCAGTCTGAAGGAAAACTCATTGTCCAAGACGGTGACTTCGTAGTCAGTGGGAGGGTCCAGTTTGGTGTGTATGCAGTGGCAGGACGCTCTGTTCTTACTTGACACAGTGACCTCCTGTCTTTGGTGAGCAGCGTGCATCCACTTAAAAGAAGCAGAAGATGTCTATGCTGCGGAATGAATATAGGGCAGTGTCCCTGTCTTGGTGTCTAGGTGTAATGGTCATATGGAGAAAATACTGCTGGACGCCCAGCATGAGTCCAGACAGAGCAGCCCCAATGTGACGGCCCTCCACACTCCCAGATGCCACAAGATACAAATAGAGCTTCTGAGACAGATGCCCACAACCTTGGGGAGAAGAGCAGCTCCCCGTCTGAGGAAGATTGTATTCAGAGAAGGGATGAATTGAAAGCATCTTGAAGACAAACTTAGGGTTATGTGGGCCAGAAAATATTCCCCCCAAGAAGTTCCTCTTTAAGCAGCCAAAGCGCACAGCCACCTCAGCTTGAGGAGACTCTCAGTTTTAAAAGGTGGCAACTAATTCAGATGTGTGGAAAGCCCTGTGTGGACTGCTTAGGAGCCCCAGGGGACTTGTAGAGTAATGGAAATGTTCTTGCTGTCCATTGACATTGAACCTACATAGGTGTGAACATTTGCCAAACCTCAACCTCTGTAATATATTTATTATCTAAATTATATCTCAATATGGTTTAAAAGGGAAAAAAGACTTCGTGTGGGGCAATAAAACGTTATCCTTTTGAGAGCCTATGATATTCTGTGCTGTGCCATTGAATCGTTTCTGACTCATGGCTAGCTCACGCGTATAGAGCAAAACTCTGTTCCACAGAGCTTTGAAGGCTGTGACTTTTCAGAAGCAGATCACCAGGCCTGCCTTCTGAGCAGACCCTGGCTGGGTTTGAACCACATACCTTTTGGTTAGTAATTGAGGGCTTAACCAGTTGCACCACCCAGGAATTCCATTATGTAATTAATTTTGTATACAAAAAGCCTGTAACAATGAAACTTGGCTTAGTATGTAGTTGAGGTTCTGGAAGTAAAGCCATCACAAAGCTTGACAATGAAAACTAATCATTCTGAGGATGCATGCTATCATTTTTTAGCTACAGAAGAATTATAAATTATTAAAAAATATTTTTTTCTTGTCTTAGTTTTTAGGACTGCGTCTGGGTTATTTGGGGTGCTGATTCAAAAAACTGCCCTGGATAGAGTGCATCAGCTCGAGTTAGATAGGGTTTTCCACTATAATTTCAACTATTAAAATTGTACTAATGTATTCATTAATCATCCCAGTTCTAAATATGAGAAGATTTAACACCCACAAATTACAGGATAAGAAAAAAAAGTAAGAAATATTTGAAAAAGAAGTAGATTTTAAGGGGCTTTAAAGGGAAACTGCGTATGGACCTGTGCTGGCTAGTTCTTTATGCGTTGAGGTCCCCATCATAAGATCAGTGATTCACATGCACCAGTTTTAGGGTTGGGAAATCAATGAGTTAGAATCCATTGAATGGCAGCAGGGTTTTCCTTTTGCTGAAGTATGCTGTGTGATATATACAGACTGCAAGTTGGGTACCGCCGACTCATAACACAGCTTGAGAAGACTGGAAAAGAAAAAAAGGCACATGCATGGAAAGTTTAAGGGCAATTTAGAATGTTGAAAATGTAAGACTTCATAGTAATGTTCATGAATATCTTTTAGATCTACATTTTCTTGCACAACTAATATTTTTCCTTTTTATTTATTTGCTTTTATAGTTCAGTAAGATTTATTGGAATATACAAGGAGTATTATCTAACTATATATGCTTTTCACATTCATATTAGTGGTATTACACCCATAATCCAGGTACAACTCATTTTCAAAGGCAATTCAACCATGGGGTGGGAGAGAATGTTCTAAAATGGATGTGATAATGATTGTACAATTTTTCTTGATATGTTTCAACTATTGAATTGTATGATATGTAAATTACGTGCCAATAAAACTCTTGGGAAAAATATCTAAATTTTCCTCTTTCAGAACACATTTTTATATATAAAAGTCAATGTTATAGCTTTCAGAGATGAGGTTCTTTTTAAGAAAGGCTTCTTTTTAAGAAAAATTCTAACTTTTAAGAGTTTCTGTGCACCCGTGGAGAAGTTGTGCCATCTTATAACTGGAAGATTTAGTCTTAAAAAAGGACTCTGAACACTGACAAACCCATTTTGAGTTTCAGAAACTTGAATCTCTAATTGTACCAAACTCACGGCCAGTCCGTCAGTCACAACTCTTAGAGGCGCTGTAGGACAGAGTGGAACTTCTCCTGCGCGTTTCAGGCCATCCACCTTCATGCGAACAGAAAGTCTCATCTTTCTCTTGCAGAGCAGCAGATGGGCTCCAGCAGCTGAGCTCGCGGCTAGCAATTCAAACACAGCCCACTACACCAACAGGGCACTTTATTTATTGTATAGTAACTCGTATTTCTGGCCCCTCTTTAAGATAACAAATTGGAACTGCCTGCTATGCAGTTTCTAATAAAGGTGCAGCGATACTTGGGAAAAACCCCACGTTCATGTAATTTGCACTGTTCAAATAGATCTTTGGATCAAAGGATACCATGTGAAATATAGCTTGACCTAAATATTTAGCATAAAACAAACTCTTTGAATGAAGCCAGTGTGCACTTCCTTTATCTCAGCCTAGTTAACAGTACATTAAAATATCCTGAAATTTTTTTAAGGGCTAACAAAGTGAGTGTTATATGACATGTTCTGTGTCTCAAAGATTAGAGCTCATAGGGGCACACTGGTGCCATTGTTTGAATCAGCAAGGCACCACAATGTGTGTTGACTACTCGTATTCAAACGACTAAATTCTTTCTATGTTTCCTTAGGGTACTGGAGAAAACAATTGGATCACATCTCTGCTCACCTCAGATCCTATACTCAGAACAACCCTGAATTCCGGACCTTAATTGCAGAACCCAGGATGGGGAAGGTGGGAACTCTGAAATGAAATGTACAAGCCAAAGTTTTTCTGTGCAATCAGGCTGACGTAACACTCCATGGGACATTGTCTAAAATTGTACCCTTGCTGCTTGCTCTGTCCTACACCACTTTCCACACCTTGTGACTATTTCCCATGGGAATGTGTAACTGTGAGTCTTGTCTCGGGCAGTGTCTGCTTCTAGAGCACTTGATCTGAGTCAGTAAAGTTTGGTTTGGTTTCAACAACTTTTTTAGTATGAGTTGGGTACAGTTTCTGCAATCAGTTTTGTCTTCAACAGTTCAAAGTACTTATCAACATTGCCGCAGTTTATGCTACCCCCACTCCTTGGCTTTCTCTCCCTTCTGTTGTGGATGACTATCCTCCCCTTCAACCAAGTAAACACCTGTCAACCCTCTAGCCGAGGGGTCGGCAAATTGCACTGAGAGCCATATGCAGCTCTTTTGGTACGTACATGTGGCTCTGAATTATAATTGAAAAAAATTTAAAGGATATTATTGAAATAATGATGATCTCATTTGTTTGTAAAAATATATTTTTGGCACTCAAGTAAATTTTAAATTGTTGTGAGGGCCAGGATTGGCCCTTCCGTCTCAAAAGGTTGCTGACCCCTGCTCTCACCTTTTGCCTCGTCTTCCTTTCCTTGCCCTCCTCAACTTGGTATGAGAATCTTTGTCTTTTCTTCCTTATAACAGTGGTCTCATACAATATTTATACTCTCATGATTGACTCATTTCACTCAGGATATGGTCCTTCCATGCCATAGGGTGCTTCCTGGTTTCATCACGGTTTTGGTTTTTTTGCAGATCTTAGTATTCCATTGTGTGTATATACCCAAGTTTCTTTATCCATTCTTCTACCGATGGACATTTGGGCTGTTTTCATCTTGCCATTGTGGACAGTGTTGCAGTGAACATGCATGTACATATGCCTGTTCATATTATGTCTCTTAGTTCTTTAGCATACGTACCCAGCATAAGTATTGCTAGGTCAGATGGATTTCTATTCCAGTTTGAGTTAGTGCCATATCTCTTCATCATGGTTGCACATGTTTACAGACTCACCACTTGTGTATAAGGTTTCCAATCTATCCACTGCCTCCCCAGTATTTGTTATTTTCTGTTTTTCTGAACTTGACTGTCATTTGCATCTCCCAGATGGCTAATGATCATGAGCATTTTTTCATGTTTGTTGGCAATTTGGATGTTGTCATTGCTAACTATTTGTGAATATCCTTTCCCTACTTTTTAATTGGGTTATTTATCATTTACTTATTGAGGTATTACAGTTCTTTAATCGATTTTAGAGATTAGTCCCTTGTCCATTGTGTCATTGCAAAAAATGCTTCCCAATCTGTAGCGACTCTTTTTACTCTTTTGATGGACATAAGGGTCTTATTTTCAGTAGGTCTCAGTCATCTATTTTGTCTTCTGTTGTGTGTATTTCCATCTTCATATTTAATAGGATGCCAATGCCTGGCCATTGGACCCTAAGTTGTCCCTGTTTTCTCATTGGTGACCTTTTATCTCTGGGTTTTACATTTAGGTCTTTGGTCCATTGTGAGTTTGTTTTTGTACAGGAGTTGTGGGGTAGGTCCTGTTTCATTCTTCTGGAGATAGAGATCCAATTTTGCTAACACCAGTTGTTGAAGAGATTATTTCTTCCCCACTTAAAGTTTCTTGTCCCTTTGTTAAATATTGGTTATCTGTAGGTGGATGAATTTATTTGAGTTCTCTTCCTGTTACATTGGTGTATATATTCATCATGATACCAATATGAGGCTATTTTAACTAGTGTATGTGTTATAGGTTTTGAAATTGGAAAGTAAGAGACCCCATACTTTGTTCTTCTTAACAAGTTATTTGCTTATCCTGGGTCTCTTCCCTCTCCATGTGAAGTTAATAATTAGTTTTTCCATTGTTTTAAAGATAAAAGTTAAGATCTAGGTCATAATTGTATTTTATTTATAGATTGCTTCATGTAGTATTGGCATTTTCACAATGGTAAGCCCTCTTATTCGTGAACAAAGATCCCTGGGGGTGTAGTGATTATGCATTGGACTGTGATCCTCAAGGTCAGCAGTTCAAAACCCAGAGAAAGATGAGGCTTCCTACTTCCGTAAACAATAGCAGCCTTGAAACCCATGGGATCTAGTTCTGCCCTGTCCTGTCGCGTTCCGATGGGTTGGTGTCAACTCGATGACAGTGAGTTTGGTGTCTGGTTTTGTTTCCTCATGACAATGGAATATTCTTCCACTTATGTAGGTCTCTCGCTTTCTTTTTCCCCCGCTTTCTCCTCTTGGTTTCTTATAATAATATTTTGTAGTTTTCTTTGTACAACTTTCATGCTTCTCTGGTTAGATTTATTTCTAAGTACTTTGTTTTTTTGTGTGTGGCTATTGTAAATGGTATTATTTTCTTGATTTCTCTTTCAGAGCTCTTACTACAGGAACCTGAGTGA